TCTTAAATGACAACATTACCAAAACTCAGAAACTGTTCTCCTGGAACTCCATTGCATGGTGAGTTAGGTCAAGGACAGTTTTAAGCCCATCCAGTTGGTTTGCTTGTCTATAGGAAAAATCTGTTTATCTCAGGTGTCAAAATTCTGCTTTTCTGTAGGGGTTAAAGAAACTTTCACTGCCTCTGCAGACCCTGTGTCATCAAGGGAACAACCAGACTACTTCATGTGAGTAAAATAACAGTTATCTCCCTGGGTACTCATTGGGGAGCAGTCTTAGGTTCCTTCCACTTTTGGAAAGATGAGTTTGAGAAGGTTTTGATGGGCCCTCAGTGCTCAGAGCCAAAATGAACACTGTGATAGAGAAGGGCAGGATGAGCCTGACACTTGCTGGCAGTGCAGTCGCGCAGCATCGGCTGCAGCAGTGGTGTTGTGTCCCCGTGTCGGATCTGTAGTGCAGTAGGGGAGGGGGAAGTGTGTCTGTCTGGTCAAACACTGCCAATTGGTTCTGTGAGAGCAGGGACATCGGCAAGGGCGCTCAGGCCTCCTGCAGCTCTGCAGCTTTGGTGCATCTTCCATCTGCCTTCGAGTTGGTGGCATGGCAGCACCTGGATCCCATATGATACAGTCAAGGATGCTCCATGGAAAGACTGAGGGAAAGCCTGGCCCTACAGGGAAGCAGTTTCGTGCTTCCCATGTTAGGCTGAGGACTTCAATGCACTTTCAATTCCCAGCCTCTGCTAGGTGAAAATGAGCAGATTAGGCTCTTTGCTGTCTGTTTCCCAGTCAGCTGGGAGCAGTGATACTGAGGAGCAAGATAGATGGTTACTTTTTGTAGCTGAATATTGAAGTAGGAAACTGAGACCAAAACCTAAAGAAAAAAAAAAAAAACCTGCATGCAAGATTTCATGAAGTTGGCTTAGTTCTGATTGGGATTAAAAATTTAAATGAAAATTTGCCTGTGAAAGGAGCCATGTCTGGAACAATCTCACAGATAATCTCCTGGTCACAGTGACATGGGAAAAATTAGGTTGTGCTGTATCAGACATCTGCCTGACCCATTATCATAGTTTGAGACCCCCAAAAATCCAATTTCCAAGTCCAAGCCCCCCTCCCACAATTTGCTTCGGTGTGAGAGGGTTTTTCAGACATAACACAAGACTCAGTATGGGGGGAAGGGAATTATATTACAATTATTACACAAATAAATACTATAATACATTATATACACAATTTTAACTCTCTCTCCTATGGTAAAGCAATATTTACATTAGGTCAAATCCCTCCTTTCCCTCCAATGAAAGTTCAGAAGGGAAGAAGGAAAGATCCTTTCCCCTTTCAGGGCAGCAGTGTCTCTCCTCTTCAAGGCAGCAGTCGTAGCTGGAGTTGTCGTAGCTGGAATCTCTCTCTTTCTCCCCATTACACACAAAGGGGTCTCCTCTCACCCATCTTGGCCCTTCAGCTCCAGCCAGAGGTCTTGCCCATGGACTGCCAGCAGGGACAAAAACTCATTTCACCATGGTCATATCATGGAATGCAAGACATCCCATAAAAGTCCCTTCCTCAAGGGGTCGAGTTCCCTCGAGTCAGAACATTCAGGACAGCTCTCAGTTCAGTCTTTGCCCCAAGCATCCTACCAGAGCTCCTTTGCTCTGTCTCAAACTGCCAGCGTGGCAGCAGGGGCGGGGCAAGGCCACTTCGCCCGCATTCCGTCCGGCCATCCCGGTCCAGCTTCCAGGATGTCTCTGAGCTTCTCAGCACCTCTCTCCAGTGCTGCTGCATTTCAGGACTCCCTTCAAATGGAAGTCCACCCCCTCCTTTTAAGAGGGGTCTCCAAGGGTTTTTGGGAAAGTAATTCAGTCTTGCCCCAAAAGCAGTCTCTGCTGAGTTTTCTCTGTTTTGTTGCCAGCTCTCCCTCCTGCAGGAACATCTCTGCATCTCTCAGCTGGCTATGTGCCATCTCTGCTGCTTGTTATCTCTTTTGGCTCTCAGCCACAGTTCTCTGTTCAGTGCTGCTCCGCCACTGCTTTCAGTGTCTTCTGCTGCCCACTCACAGTGGAGAAACTCCCCCAGCCTTTGACTACGGCACCTGATCCAGTTTTAACACTGTTCTGGGCTTCCGCAGCCCCCAACTGTGGGCTGGGGGGGCCTAGCCCCCAGCAGGGCTCGCTGGCCCCTCAGCTCCTCATGGCTTCACAACGTGGCTACTTCTCTCCAGCTACACCATCTCCCCTCTTTTCTGGTCTGTTATAAAATATTGATTTCAAAGGAACGAAATGTAGCTTCTGATTGGGCCCTACACCAAGAACACCACCCCCTCGGGGGTTACCACTTTTCTAACTCCAGGGGAAAACACTTTTTTTACCCTGTAACACCCATAGAGAAAGTTTGAAAACTGAGAGCACCTGCAACATGATCCAGCTCAAAGCACTTTGGTAGTTTATTCCAGCTTCTCTTCCTGATTCTTAGTGCTACGTAATTGATGAGTATGATCACAGCTTTAGCATAAAGATAATTTCAATCTTAATATAGATAGTATGAGTGTAAAGGGACTCAGGCTTTTTAAGCAAAGTGTATGCAAAAGCCAGAAAAACAAAACATGTTCATGTTTCTCCCCATTTTGCCTCTCCTTTCTTTCCTCTCTACACTCTTGCACTGTGGGTGCTATGCTGGGCTCTTGCTAGGGGATGTCACTGTGCATAAACCAGAAGTCCAGGCTATTGCTTCACAGGTACCTCCCAAAATGTTGAAGGACATCTGTAGTTTTCTTTTCAAATCTCATCCAGCATGCTGATTGGGTGCATCTGGCCTGGGATGCATCACTGAGAGAAGTTGTTTTCTGTGGCCCATTTCTAGAGTTACATGACTACGTTCTCTTGAAGCACATGTGCTTGCCTGTAGAAGCAGGAAACCATGGAGTGAACTCACTTGAGATTGGGTGTCTGGGCTTGACATTCGCCATGTGCTTGGTATAAAATTGCACGTGTGCTCTATAGAATGGAAATGAATTAGAATGTTCCCTTAGAACATATTAATAGCAAAATGTTTTCCATCTTCCATTAGAAAATACACAGCTATAGTGTCCTGTGAACAACGCCAGAGCTACAAGGATGACTTCAATGCAGAGTATGGTGAATACCAGAATTTGTTGGCTCAGACAGACAACCTTGCCAAGAAATTCGGGAAGTTTAATGAACAACAGAAGTTTGTGACTCAGGGGTCCACAGAATATCAGGTAAAGAAGGATAAAACTGTGAAGAATATCCTGGTGAGCTGAGGGGGTACTGATACACAGATGGGAGAGAAGACTGGAAATGCCTGGAAACCAGTGGCCATAATCCCAAAAGGTTTCCTAACCCTCTCTTTCGCATGACTTTTAACACATAACTAAACCTACAGCAAAAATTTACTCATCTTCCAGGTGGCTGATCCCAGCTGCAATTTTAGCAGAGAGGGCTGTTCAAAACTTGATGTTCTGTCCGTCCAGCCTTGGCTTCTCTGATTTGAACACACATTCCATGTCTTCAGTATCAGAATTCTTTAGTTCCGTGTGCAGGCTGAGGCTTTTTGGATGGCATTTATTTTGGCTTCGGCCAGATTGCAAATGTATTTGTGAGCAGAAGGAGTATTTTAGTTTCCCTGGTATTCCTCAGTGAGACAAAGGGAAACCTTGTGGAATTGGAAGATATGCTCAGACCCTGCTTGGGCTGGGTCTCATATTTGCAAAACCCTGCCAAAAACACCCTGTTTGAGCTCTCTGTGAATGCACAGCAGTGTGACTGATGTCCCAAAGGGAGTCTTTAAGCACATGGTCCTTTTATTGCCTACTGACAGGTTTAATTGCAGATCCTAGGTGATAGAGGGGGTTGAGGATTTATTTTTGCAAAGCTCCTACAGGAGTAGTGGCTCACAGAGAAGAAAATCTCTTCAAGTCAAACTGAGTTTATTCTTAGTGTTTCACGTTTGTATTTTCTGGTAGTAGTGAAATGTTCTTCATATTGTCTTCATGGTTTTTTTCTCTTGTAGGTGCTTTGTTGTCAAGTCCTGGCAGAGCATCAGAAGATACAACAGGTATGTGTAACATCAGATCTGCGGGACGTGGAAATCACTGAGTCTGGCTCAAGGCTATTTTAAAGCCAAAGAGATGACATTCTAAACTCTCCAGAAAGGTTTGCATGCCCTAATTTTCTTTTTATCTTTCCTTTATAGTGTAGCCCTACCTACGCTGAATTGAAGAAGAGATGTCAGTACCTACACAACAAGCTGTCTCACATTAAGAGACTAATCCAAGAATTTGACAATCAGCAAGAGGAGTCCTGTAACCAGTTGTCTGCTTTGGCCAGGACACATCTATGAGCTGTGGCATATTTATTTAGTTCCCCTAGGATTCTTTATCTTAATATTGAACATTAGCTTGTTTGTTTAAAACTGAAGATTAGCTTCTATAGGATTATATAAGTTGGTATTGAGCAGTAGGTTGTTTATTTAAAAAACAATATCCAGTTCCTTTAATTGTATATAAGATAGTATTTCATGTTTTCATTAAAGAAGTTTCAGTACCGTTAACTCCTTGTGGTGATGTTGCTTATATGATATTCGAAGCTGCTTTTTTCTGGTCCCTCTTTTCTTCGAGGCTTAGGCTGTCCATTGAAAAAATTTTACCAGCAGATGCTGGAGACCCAGTACTTCTACTATGAACTTGTGCAAATTTAAAAAAAAAATATTGTAATAAATAAAAAACTTTAGAATAAGTACAAACCTGTTTTCTGACCTCTCCGGTTAATGCAAACTCTTGGCCTTATGTAGTAGAAATTTGGGCAAACTCCCCCAAAATCACCGTGTTATGAAAGGTTAAAGAGACAGCATTTGGGCTGCTCTGCACTGTCAGTTGAAGCAGCTCACAGGTCTGCTTTAAAGTCTGGGGTTCCCCTTGTCAGTGAGCCAAGTAATATCCAGATCCTTTGGAAGTGATTTGTAAAACACATAGACACGTGTTGAGGCAAAGTACTTCAACAGGTTTTATACGCAAGTTGGGTTAAAGTGTCACAGTAGAAACTTTACCCATTTGTTAGCTTTGTTAAAAATAGTCTGTCACAACCAGTCTTTCTAGAGCCACAAATGTTGATTCCTGCACAGATCTGTGGTGACTCTGAAGTCTAGTTCTTTCCCTTAGTTTACTACCATTTATTTCTTTAACTCATCGGGGAGAGGTGTGTCCTAAGCTTCTTTTGGGGAAGGATATGAAATTGACTGAGGGAGGACAGTAAATGAGAACATTAAAACAGGGCTGTGGATCCACCTTTCTTCCTCGGAGAGTCGTTTAAAAACAACTTCGTCAATTGTCTCCCTGCAAACTGTGTTAAGCCCCTGTATGTGACACTTCCTGGGGTGTTTTGTGATTGAACACCTGAGCCATTGTTGCCCTTCTGTTCTCCATCAACTGAAGTCCAATAGAACGTTAACTCTTAAATGTTGAGACTCTGGTCTCTTTTTGGCTGGAGGCAGGGGGCGCTCCTACCCCTCTGCAAGGAGGCAGCAGAACAAAGGCTGCTGTGGGGAGCGAGGGGTGAATTCTGCTGTAGTGATGCATCCTCCCGCCCTGACAGTTCTGTCCTGCTGCTGATTGTCAGAGCCTGCAGCATGCTGCGAACCTTTTAAAAATAAAACTTTAATCAGAACTCAATCTTCCAACCCAATCAACCCACTGTACTTGGGTGAAGTGTTGCTACCTTTGGCGTTTGTGTTCTCCCTTTTGCAACCTGAGGCTTCTGGAGCAGACCATGTCTGACTGATATGTTTGTCTTCATGCTGACACCACTTTCTCCAGCATTTTGTAAGAAAGAGTGGACTTCTAAAGACCACAATTACTATGTTACTTGCTCTCCACCAGCAGAGCTTCCACTGCTATCACTGACAATCATATGAAGTTGAAGAAGGGGAAGTGCCAGTTTCTGCACCTGGGATGGGACAACCCTGATTGTGTGTACAGACTGGGGAATCAGATGCTGGAAAGCTGTGCTAGGAAAGCGACCTAGGGGCCCTGGTTCATGCTAAGTTGATTATGAGTCAGTACTGCCCTGGCAGCCAGGAGGGCCAACCGTGTCCTGGAGGGTATCAGGCAAAGCTTTGCCAGCCAGGTGAGGAAGGGGATTGTCCTGCTCTGCTCTGATCTGGGGCAGCCTCACTTTGAATATTGTGGCAGTTTTGGGCACCACAATCTAAGAACGATATTAAGCCAATAGAGAGTGTCCAAAGGAGGGCAATGAAGGTGGGGAAGGGCCTTGAGGGGAAGCCATATGAGGAGTGGCTGAGGGCACTTGGTCTGTTCAGCTGGAAGAGACTGAGGGGAGACTTCACTGCAGTTACGACTTCCTGGGGAGGGGAAGAGGAGGGGCAGGCACTGATCTTTTCTCTGTGGTGACCAGTGACAGGACCCAAGGGAATGGCCTGAAGTTGTGTCAGGGGAGGTTTAAGTTGGATATTAGAAAAGGTTCTTCCCTCAGAGGGTGATTGGGTGCTGGAACAGACTTCGCCAGGGCAGTGGTCACAGCATCAAGGCTGGAAGAGTTGAAGATGATACTCCAGGCACGTGGTGTGACTCTTGGGGATGATCCTGTGCAGGGCTAGGGATTGGACTCAATGACCCCTGTGGGTCCCTTCCAACTTGGCATATTCTATGATTCTGTGATTCTGTGAGTCAATTATGCTGTAAACTCCCAGGGGCAATAGGTTTGTCTTGTTTCTTCAGAGATAATGAACCTACAAGGCCATTAACAGTTTTTGCTTCTCAGCAACCTGTTTCAGCTCTAAATCACAGAATGGTTTTGGGTTGGAAGGAGCCTTAAAGCTCATCTTGTTCCAACCCTCTACCATGGGCAGGGACATCTCCCACTAGCCCAGGTTGCTCCAAGCCCTGTCCAGCCTGGCGTTGGACACTTCCGGGAATGGGGCACCCACAGCTTTTCTGTGCAAACTGTGCCAGTGCCTCACCACACTCACAGTCAAGAATTTCTTCGTAATATCTAAGCCAAATATGAAGCAAACTTTGATAAAGAGTACATCGCCTCTCATAGCTTCCAGAGTTCAAACCTTGACAGAGCCATTGATACCAAAAACAGCATAAAATTAACTGCTCGGAGACAGCTTTGAGTCTTTAAGCAGCAAAGGTATTTATTTGGAGCAATGTTGGGGAGTCTAGCCAGCTCACGCTGGACAAACTAGCTCCAAAGTTCTCAGTGAAAAGTCAGGGAATTTATACAATTTTGGTGAGGGATTATAATATTTTACATTAATATTCATTACAATTACATCATTTAGTTATAATATTCATATCTAGTAGGGTTCAGGTGGAGCTTGAGGCGGACTCATCCTTTTGGGTAAGTTCTTGAGGGTCTTGAGGAAGAGGGTTTGGAGAGCCCTTTGGTAATTAACTGCTGCGATACTGCATATGGTATCACATGTGCAACAGCAGAAACCCTGTTGTTAAAGGGTAATTACAGATTAAATTTGACTCCCAGATCTCAGTGACTATTTCATAAACATCTGCTGTTAAAACAAAGTTGAGGCCAGCCTGTCACGCTCCACACAGGCTACTGGAGGGGTATCCTCTATGGTGACAGGTCTTGCAGCAAAGAGAAATGTGATTAAACCCCTATAACTTTGTCACATACTGTGCCAAACATATTTTTTCCTATTGATTCCAGCTAAAAGCTTGCACAGCCACCCATTGTACCCCCTAATTATCTCCATGTTAAAGGTGTTTGTCATTGCAATGCTGAGTGGCACATCATCTCTCTCTACAGCAATTCCAGCCTTTAAGCAACAGCACAATCTGAATTGCTCCTAATTTTTGTACATAAAAAATGCTTATCTTTTGTAAGGCACAACTTTTCTTTTCATTTAAAAAATACTTTCAAGTTATAATTTTTCTCCATAACACTAAAATCACTGTAATAAAAAACTAAACCTCTATAATAATAATAATTTTTTAAAAGCGGGAGAAAATTCTCAGTGTGAACATCATGTCTCTAACAGATACAGCATGTCTTCTTTCCTTTTGACAGTGCTTTATAATTTCAAAATAGCATCTGAGGACACTGTGCGTCAGCTCTGTGAAGGATTATTGTGCCTGAACACAAAGAGCAAACCCCCACCAAAACTCTCTGTGTTGCTCAAATGTCAAAAAATGGCATCACATCTGACTTCATCAGGAGACATTTCCAAGGTGTTACCTCAGGTGGACACATCTTCTTCTCTGTAGGTGCTGAGCAGAAGAATTTCCATCCATTTTTGGAGGACTGTAAATCCACTCTGTGCTGGGACAAAGAAACCCATGAGGGATAGCAGGGAGTGGAATACATTGATGATGATGATGGAGGCCCTGCACTAACATCACAGTGCAGATGGGCAGGGGGATGAAAGTAACCTGAAGTCTTCAGTCTTGCTTTCTTCCAGGAAACTCCACCTATGAAGCCAGTCTGAAGAATTTTTAGTTTTGCTTTCAAGTTACAGGATATGGGTAAGCCTCAGACTTGCTTGTGCCTGCTGCCTGCTGCCATGAGTCAGCTTCTTTTTCTCCAACTCTGCTTTCACAAAGACTCCAATTTCTTCAGTGTTTTTTAGCAGCCCTCTTTACCTTGACACTTTCCCGCAGCCTAGGCCAACCTGCTGTGCCTTCCTACAGAACACCAATAACCTCAGTAGCTTCACCTTTCCTCTTCTCTAAAACGGCAATTTTCATGAACGGAGCTTTCTGCTTGCAATGGGGGTGAAGACAAAAGGCAGCACATATTATCTGCCTATTGAAGGACGTGGGACAGATGCTGGTTGTGGCATTCTTAACCATCACCTGTCTGTGATGACATTGGGTTGTGTCCCCCCACACCAGGGCACTTTGCACCCTGCACCCCTTCTGCATCAATCATCCCCTTTACAACCTACAAACAAGGACCATGTGGGACATCCACCAAAACCCTTCACCCTGTGGCAGCAGTGGGGAGTGTGGAGGGACGTATGGGGATAGAGATGCACAAGGGATATGCAGGTAAATGTGAAGGGGATCCATGTGGGGATGCATGGGGGATGTGTGGGGAGATGCACAGATGGATGTGCAGGGAGATGAGGCAGAGATATTCTGACTAAGCAGTTTCCTCCCCTGCAAAACTCACACAGCCTGACCAGGACTCTGAGACAGGGGAGAGACTGCTACAGCACCCAGAGTGCACAGTTTGCACCCTGAAGGGAGTTTTCTGGCACCTGTCCTCTAGTGCAACAGCATCCCACAGGATCTGACTCTATGGCTTGCCCCTATAGCCACACTCCTCTCTACCAACAGGAGTTAAAACAGCCATCCTGGCCATGTATCTGCTAATATTCACTGTGAACAGGTAACAAGAGTGACCCAAGAGGCAAGATTGTTGATGAACGCTGTAAGAGGCCTGTGGCACTCCCGAGGTCCCGACGTGCTTTTCCCTTAGTTGCCCCTGCCAGGCTGGCCTCATATTACCCCTGACCATGAGAGAGTGGAGGAAGGCCTGATTAATCCTGGTAGGAACACAGAATTTACTATTTATTTCCCAAGTCTAGACAACTGTCACACTATATTTCTGAGAAAATAAATTTCAAATGTCTAGG